TAACTGAGAATGAGGCCCGAAGTATTTTCCATCAGCTGGTATCGTCTATACAGTACAGCCACCAGAGGGGCATGGTCCACAGGGCCCTGAGCCAACCAACATGCTCACTGATGCTCAGAAGAACATGAAAATTGTGGACTTTGGACTCAGCACTCAGTTTTGGGGCAATAAGCTGAACATGTTTGTAGTACCCTCTCTTATGATGCCCCAGAACTATTTCTGGGCCAAAAATATGCCGGCTCTATGGTTGATGTACGGAGCCTAGGAGTGGTCCTGTATGAAATGCTGGCAGGGACCCTACACTCTGTGGAAAAGAACTTCAGGGAGCTGCGGCAGCAGATATTAAGCGGAAAATAAATACCTTGTGCCGCGTTTCCTATCTTTTGAATTGGAAAAGACATTTAAAAAATTGTTGATGCTCATCCAAGGGACAGAGGAAGTTTATGGGGCACCCATGGCTAAACATGGGCCAAGAAGAAATACTCAGACCATATAGTGAGTTGCCCAGTGACAACACAGACTCCCGGTGAGAGAGAGGTGATGAACCTGGGGTTTGAGTGGGATGAGATCCAAGAGACATTAAAACACAAGAGGTTCACCAGCATGATGGCCATGTACCTCATCCTGAGCAGCAAGAAACCAGGAGTGGAGAGCTGCATCGTCATGGTAGGGCCCTTCTGTCCCCCTGACCCCAAGAGGTTCACCTGAACAAGAGGTTCACCCAGAGTTCTCCAAGTGTCTGGGAATATATAAGCAGCCTGAGGACCAGGTGTGAGGACAGAAGACCCAAGAGCCTGCCATTCCCCCAACCATCTCGGAGTCAAGGACCACCACCCCATCCCAGCCCGCAGTGTGGCCCTGGAGATCCACAGACAGCAAAAACATCAGAAAATAGCAGCAGCTGTGGATCCCCAGAGGGAACCAGCCAGGGCCTGCAGGGAGTGGCTAGGAAAGTCTTGGACTTTATGTTGAAAAAGTTCTGCTTTCGGTCATTCACCAAAAAGCATGGCAATGAAAAAAATGTAGCGTCCATGTAAACAGTGTCCGGCCAAGGCAGGGATACAACCAGGGACTCCAGGGAGCCCAGCCACATGGTGCAGGCAAGACTGGCCGAAGGCTGGATGCAGAGAGCTTCCAGAAGAAGAGGCGCATAATGCACACCGTGAGCCAGGACCGTGGGCGAGAGAGCACCAGGTCCAATGGACAATGGAGCTGTGCAAACTGCCATGACGTTCTCTGCGTGAATTCACATCAGAAGGGTACCTGGCATCTCCGTGCCCTTCAAAACTTAAGGCCAAAAATACCTGCTGAGCTTGAAGGACGGCTGGAGCCCCCTGGGGGACAACAGGAGAGGCCCCCGAGCTGCAGGTCCACCGCGCAGCCAGCCTGTTTCTCCTGGGTCCCTTTTCACCTCTCCTGTTCTTTCCTTCCACGTTTGTGTGAGGGGACGCTTCTCTTTAAAGTATGTGGTTCTTCCAAGTCTTGTAATAAACTTGGTGCTTCAGAGAGCGTATTGGATCCTCTTGTTCGCACCCTCCCTGCACAGAATCGGGGCTGTGCATCCTCACTTCAGAGCCGTGTAGCGATGTAGCACTTGGATTTAATCAGAACAACTAAATGGAAAAAAGGAGAGAATGGTCACATAACTCCCAACAACAATGCGGTTCGGAAGGGAAGGGCTGTGAGCCGGACCGCAGGGCGGAAGGCAGACGGGGTGCTACCTTCCTGCACGCACATCCCCCACATCTGCAGAGCGCCCAAGGGGAACGCTGGCCCTGTGGCCTGTGTTAATTATGACCAAGAGGCCCACAATAGACAACATAATGCAGCTTTGATTCCTGACTATAGGGCAGAAGTCGGGCCTTTTCCTTCCCCCCCTAAGAAGGGACTGGTATGCGTGGGTTTGATCACAGAAAATAAAGAGGAGACCTGGGGGCAGGAGGAAGCTCAGGTTCATCAAACATCTTGGCTGGTTAGGAGGGGTGCAGTCCTCGAAGTCCTGAAGTGGCATGGTGGCCTGGGAAAGACAGGCTCTGGGCTCAAGTCTCACCCCCACGACTCACTCACAGGCTCCATACTGACTTCCAGCCTCTGTTTCTCTTCTGTGAACTGGGACAGTGTCACCCTCAACCTAAGAGTGTGGGCTTCCTGTGTACATCACAACACAAAGTGCTGGGCTATATCGGGTGCCCTGGGAGGTGTGGGTGGGCGTGAGGTTGCAGGCATTACAGATGTAACACTGCAGCTGTCCAAAGAACTGGGCTGAGTGTGTGTCTTTTAATATACTGAAACAGGTAGCTGCCAATAGCAAATTCCTTAATCTAGGTCAGCGATTTTCAACCTTTTTCATCTCATGGCACATATGAACTAATTATTAAAATTCTGCAGCACAACAAAAAACATATTTTTTACCAATATGATTAAAAAAAATAGGTGTAGTTTTGATTTATTCACAGTGGACAACTATTGTGTTGGCTGTTGTCATTTTCTTATTTGACAATCTAAGGAAAAGAGGTCAGGCAGGTGTTGCATGTTTTACAAATTCTTGCGGCACACCAGGGTGCCTCTTGCAGCACACCAGCTAGCAATCGCTGATCTAGGTCATTGATTAAGGTCGTGTATACTTTCTCCTGTCAATTATAATCACCTGAACGGAGGCCTCCAGAGTTTATTAGCCACATTATTGCGTGTAATAGACGGGCTCTGCTCAGTTCCTAGAATACAGGTGAACTTGCACACCTGTGGTTTTCGACTTGTTCCTCACTCTCGCTCAGTGTCTCTCAGTAGCTCCCCATTGCCTAAGGCAGGTGTGCTACAGGCATAAAATGTGATATGAGACCTTGCCCACCTTTCCCACTGGGTTGGTGTCCCTGCAGTGATCAACCACCAGCAATCCCAAGCACCCGAGCATCGATGACTTAGATGCCTTGCACCTCTGTACCTTTGCATGTTCTGCTCCTCCTGATGCTCTGGTTCCTTGGCTTTGAACCCTCAGCTACCTTGTTCATTTCTCCTTTATGGTAGGACGATGTTGGTTGCTCACACAGCACACTGCCTTCTTCCTGTGTATGCTCAATTTGAAAAAACATCACAATTATTCTAGGAAGTTACAGCAACCACATTACCCCTGCTAGTGCTTGGTTGGGGGACTTGTGGCCCAGTTGTAACTAACAAGATATTAGAGAACATCTACAGGGGGCTTGTGGGAGAGATTTTCCTTCCCACAGAGAAATAGATGGACAGGGAAGAAGGTGCCCCCTTTCTTCTGGCTTAAGCACTCTTAAGCACTAACTATGCAGATGTGAAGGCTGGCATGAAGGCAGCCATAGTGCTACCATGAGGGAGGGACAAATATATTTTGGGAATGGTAGAGTACAGAGGTGCAAGGCATCTAAGTCATGGATGACATTGTTGGGCCACCAGACCACTCTGGACCTCCCATCTTTCACATCACCTATCAACATTAAATGTTAGATGACTTTGTAGTTTAAACCACTCTTAGCTGGGTTCTCTGTTAGTTCACCAAACACTTATCTAACTGCTACCACCTTCAAGTCTCAGTTGAAAGTTGTCTGACCTTAACTAATTCCTCAGCGTGCTTGTGTCTCTGCTCAATGCCCCTACCCCTCGCCCATGAAAGCAGCTCACAAGCTATGGTGCTCTGTCTATCTGGTGTGTCCTTATTTGATCTGTGAATAGCCCTGAAGCATGCCTCCGCCCTTCCTTCTCTGTCCACACTGAGCCTGCACACAGTGGGCCTTCAGGATAGCTTAGGGACATGGCAATCTGCCCTCTTCCCTGGACAGAAGCCCTGGGCGATTAAAAAAACCTAGGAAGTCACTTTGGCCCAAGCACTGCCTCTGGACCTTGTGGGCTTCTGCAGCCTCCTCAGCGTGAGTGTGAAGTCCCAGCTGCCTGCCTTCAAATGCTGAGCTATTGACTTGTGGTCAGCTCGGCCTCCTGTGTCAGCAACAAGAGGCCTTGGCGCATAGAAAGGAGAACATGAGCTAAGTGGCAAGGGAGACATAGAAAGAGCTTGACAGATACATCCCTTTTCACACTGGGTGAAGTTCTCTGCATGTCTTGGGAAAGACCTTGGTGTGTAAGTGGGGAGGACAGTCTCCCAAATCCAAAGTAAGAAGATGTCCTCTGGTATAGTGGAGGGCCAAGCACTCTTGTCCTCACCTGTGGTAGCTCCAGATGCTAGTCTGAGCATGGGTGATTGCCTCTGTGGTTACATTAGCATAGTGTTATCGCCAAGGAAAACAAGACAGGATGCTGGGCATGGGGAAGCTAGGTGGGTGAGTTCATGCCAGTGGAAAAAAATCCCATGCCTTCCATCCGTGAAATGGCTTCTGCAAGTCTCCTGTCACATGACAGTTTCCAAGCCTCGGGCACCCACAGTACACTGGGTGTGGAGCAGGGCGCCTTAGCCACCCTCATGTGGACAAGTTACATTAAGCAGCTTCCCAGAGTGCAAGCAGAATGTGGGTGTGGGGTCCCGCTCCTCACTTCCTTACCATGGACCTCATTTCTCTGAGCCTCAATCTTGCCCTTAAAAATGGAAACATCAGTTGCTACCTTAACAGGGCTAATCCCATGAGGATAAATTTGGTTTGGCCAGTACCCAGCTCTCAAAAGATACTACCTGAATCCATTTCGACATCCAGATTACATTGGAGGCAAACAATCAAAGCAGGAGAAAACAATTTATGTAACTAAGATGTCTAAGACAACAGCTTCAGGCAAGGCTGTACCTGGGTGCTCAACGAATTCAGCAGAAGTCACCTCTTCTGACCTCCTGGCTTTTCTTACTTCCCTCTGTGCTGCTGACATTCTCAGGTGAGGTTTCTTTTTATGAAAACAAAATGGCCACCAACAGCCACAAGCTCATATCCTAACCGCTCAGCTCTCCAACTGAAATAGAACTTCTCTGCCCCCCTGATTCCAGCACTAGGGACTGACTCATGGGACTTGACTGGTCACCTGCCCAGCCCTGAGCCAGTCACTGTGGTTTAGGAGGTGGAATACACTGATGTGACCTCCCTCTCCACGGAAACTTGTGAGCTGTTCACCCAGTTACTGAATTTTTAAACATTAATTATAAGGTCATTTTGNTGGCCAGCTCTGGGTCATGTGACCTCCCTCTCCACGGAAACTTGTGAGCTGTTCACCCAGTTACTGAATTTTTAAACATTAATTATAAGGTCATTTTGAAATTTTCTAATTAAAATAATCAAGTACAGAAGTTCCCAAACTGAAATGCATGTCATATATATTATTTTGTTATATGTCATATATATGTATACATAATGTATATTTATTAGTCTTTGAAATATAGTATTTAATAAATATTTCTCAGTTTGGTTATATTTTAGATTTATAATGGTAAGCCTTTAATGACAGTAGTAAATACATACATGTACACATACACACGCACACACACACACAGGGTTAGTTCATAAAAATGAAGACTTAAAAGAGAATTTTACATAAACCCATTAGAAATGTGTGTTTTATATTATCTTTTAAATTTATTAAATGCAGAATTTTCTAACAAATATTATAATATTCTTTTTACTAATCTCTCTTTCTTTATGTGGCTCAGAGAATGGTTTTTCTTTTTTGACCAAATGGTTTGTTAAATACTAGATAATATTAATAAAGGGAATAAAAGGAAAAGAGCAAAGTTTACTATACACTTTCCATATGAGCTTCATTTTGTATTCTCATCTATATACTTATCCTAAAGCCAGAACTTAAATAAGATAATTCATAAACATAGTAAGATGAAATCATGTTAAATTAAGATTTGGAAATAGTCTGTAATATTTAATTTAACATTTTATTTGTTATGTCAAGTTAGTGAGAAAATACATACGATGTAGAGAAAAGTGTTAACAAGTCAGAAAAAACAGAAATGATAAAACTCATGTTTGCAGGGCAAGACTTTCACTGAAGCTAATCTTGAATTTGATAAGTAAAACTGTGCTTTAATCAAACATACTATATGTTCTCTTTGGCCTATAACATTTTGCTAATTATGCCTCAACTTTTAAAAATCACTTTAAATGCTGATTTAAAATATAGATTACAATAACATTTTCTGAATTTTTAGTGTCTATTTGAAGAAAAAAAATGCAGGAACTTGTGAACATAAACCTTACATATTTAACAATCCCTTTAAATAACTTCAGATGTACCAGGTGGCTGTCTCTATTAGTCAGGTGGACTAATTGCTATAACAGTTACAAAGTGTCAATGGCTTAATGCTACAAATGTTGAACACTTAGCCCAATGTATGTTGTTGAAAGAAAGGAGGGCAGGCTCTTCTCCACGCAATCATTCAGGGATCCAGTCTGTTTCCATTTTGTTCATCCACTTCTTCTAAGTCCAGGAAACCCTCTTCACTTTATCCATGGATAAGAAGAAAGAATGAAAATTACAGGTGGGAGGCTTTTACGAGCCAGGCCGAGAAGTAGCAACATCATTGACGTCTCGTTGTATTACTCCAAATTCAGCCAAATGGTTATACTTAATAAAAAGAAATGTTAAAAAAGGTTATATGGCTGCTTCTCCAGGAAGGGGGGGGGGG